TAATTACCTTTATGCTTATATTCTCCTAGTATGTAACTTTGAGATACAAAGTTTTACTCCTTCTAAAATTTGTTGAGCAGTTGTCTCTTTGAAAGAAATTCTTTTTCTTAGAATATTATTATTCATAGTGGGTTGTATGTATTAGTGGGAGAAATAAATTTATATACTATATATTGCCTGGAAAAGACCATGATTATACATCAGTTGCCAAGATGCAAGATGATTATCTGTTTATAGTTGTGTTGTGTCCTTTCTAAAAACTTTTTTTTTTTTTTTTTTTTTTTGCCACTGTCATCTTGGTATTTTTACTTGAAAAGTGCTGGAATAAATGACTACATTTTTGGTCTCATAAAATAGAGTTGCCCTATCTCAGCATTACGGGCATTTTCACCTAGATCATTCTGTGTTGTCCTGCGCATTGCAGGATGTTTAGAAGTGTTCTTTGCCTCTACCCTCAGATGTCAATAACATCCCCCCAAGTTGTGACAACTTAAAAATATCTCCACACATTGCCAAATATCTTCAGGGATGAGGGCAGGCAAAATTGCTATGGGTTGAGAATCACTGAAATAGAAACATCAAATGAAGAGAATGTATAATTCATATAAGTAACTATATGGAACACTTTAATGCCCCGCCAAAATATTTTTGCTTTTATGTTGAAAATAGTGTAAGCTTCTAACACTGTTCAATAAGAAACAACAGTATTTTATGAAATCTAATAACATTATTCTGGACGTATGGTACCTCTACAAAATATGAAATGTATTTCTGAGCATAATACTACAATTGCAAAAAGGTGGACATCAGAAAATATAAGTGGAAAAGAATGTTGCCTCAGCTGATAACCACAATGTAACAAGGGAAAGAGGCATTATGGACCAATAATGATAATACCACATTGCTATGTTAATATAGGCAATGTTTACTGGCAACGCATTTGTGCCAGGTATGATATGGAGGTGAAAACAAGTGCTTTCTTCCCTTGAAAAGATCAGAGTCTAATGATGCTTCATGAACATATAAATAATTATGACATTTATCATAAAAAAAGGCAGTACTGGAAAAATTATGATAGAAATGTCTACTGCTGAGTTGTAAAATGACTGAAAAATAAGAGCCTTAGCTGTTTGCATAGTATAGTTCACAGCTAGGCGAGGTTTCTGTCAATCTGCTTCAGTAAGGCAGTTAATGTAATTCAGAGAAAATTTCCCCTCTTTTGCTACAAATAACCTTGGCATTGGCTCATTGATGATTCAAACTGAAGCAGCTGAACTATTTTGACAAAGTGATCAGGATAAGTCGTTCAATTACTCACTTCACTTGCCTGTGGAGACTTCAGCTTGCTATTGTCTAGTGAATCAAACAAGCAATTGTCAGCTTGGGAGATTTGTGTTATTAAAATATATTAATATTGGTCCTGGCCAGATAGTTCAGTTGGTTAGAGTATTGTCTCGATATGCCAGGGTTTTGGGTTTGATCTCTGGTCAGGGCACATATGAGAAGCAACCAATGCATGCATAAATAAAGAGAACAACAAATCAATCTCTCTCTCTCTCTCTCCCCCCCTCTCTTCCCCTTCTTCTCTCTCTAAAAATCAATTAAAAATTAAAATATATTAATATTAGGTACAAGTTTAATACCAAGATTTTTGGAGAAAATGTTTTTTGTTTATAGACATATTCTGTGTTCCCACTCTTTTTCTGGAAAAACTCTTTAATTGTTCTATTTTTCAGTGATATAATAACTCCAAGTACTACATGGCTTTAAATTAGAAAAAAAGGTTAAAAAATAGTAAGTACTAAAAAATTTACATAAATATAGCTTTAGCCCCATTTTTGTTGGGTAGGAAATAGACAAATTTGTTTTTTTGGGACCATGGCATTGGGCTGGACAGGACACTGCTTTGCCATAAGTTTATTGGTCTTCCTGGACTTGCTGACCTGAACAAACAGCTACAAGAATGTCAGAAAAACCAAAGGAATGGGATTAGGAGGCCATATTTTGGGAAGTGAAAGCAGGACAGGTATGTAGGCTGACCAAATATTTCTGTTTCAGCTGACTTTCTCCCAGGCATCTGATTAGAATAGCATCTCTGTTTTATAGGGTCATGTGACTTTTCCTGGCTAAGGAGGTGTAAGCATACAGGATGCAAGCCTACCCTTCTGGAGTATGTTTACACTCCACATACTCCTGAGTTCTTTTTCCTTATGTCACAGTGATCAGCAATACTTGAGATATGGTTTCTCCATCAGCCTGAATGTACTGAGTGACCACTATGAGCAGAGTCTTCTGTGAACCATGATGGATATGTATCACCTGTTTTAAGCCAGGGCTTGGTAAACTTCTGTAAAGAATTAGAGAATATTTTAGCTTTTGCACATCATACTATCTCTGTCACAACTACTCAACTCTGCTCTCCTGTGGCACAAAATCAGCCACAATATGCACATAAATGGATATGGCTGTGTCTCCAAAAAAAAGTTTATTTACAAAAACAGATGGAGGGGCACTTGGCCCAGGGACTATAGTTTGCAAATCCCTGTTTTAAGCCACAGAGTTTTCAAGATTGTTACTTCGGTACAACCTAGCTTTTATCTTGATATGCTGGGCTGTGAGATGGACCCCCAAAGGAGATTCTTGGTTATCTGTGTTGTCATCTATCCTTCTCCCTCTTAACAATCTACCTCCCTTTCTCTTGAAAAGCCCAGTTTAGCAGACCATGAATCTTTATGCTTCGTAACTGCTACTGAATCGTAATGTGTCAAGGGAAGGCAGAAGAGGCCTTTTGCATACCTTATCACAAGTCCTCAACTCAAACCTGAATCATCAGAGGTCTCCAGGTCAACAGCTCTCATATATTAGCATGCATCAGAGTCACCTGGCGGGCTTGATGACAAAGATTGCTGGGCTCCACCCCCAAGAATTTGGTTCTGTTTGTCTAGGGAAAATCTGCCTGATAGAGTATTTCATGTCTAATCTGAAAGATACTGGTCAAGTTCTAAGGAATAAAGGAGTGACTCCCATCTCCCCCGACACACACACACAAAAAAAAAATTCATGTGCATATAAATCAGCTGGGTATCTTGTTAAAATGCAGATTCAGTAGGCCTGGGTTGGAGCCTGAGATTTTGATAGTGATTTTGGTCAGGCTGAGTACACTAAAAGCCGCAAGAAGCTAAATAATTCTGATCTTCTTTTCTAGCCTCTAGACTTACACAGTGTTTAGCAAAGGGCTAAGCTCAGTTCAGGTGCCTAAATCTTAATAATCTTAGGTCAACTTTGACTTCTCTCACGCAACATACAACTGGCAAACCCTGTTGGTTCTACAATCACAATGTATAAAGCATTCAACCACTTGTCACCACATTTACTATAACACACTGACATCGACCACTACTATCTCTGGGCTGTATTATTTCAACAGCCTCCAAATTGGGCTCCCAGTGTCTGCTCACGCTTCACCCTCCCTCTCACCTCTTATACACACTTACTGTAAATTCTTTATACAGCAGCAAGAGGATTTATAAAAAAATAAAAAACCCCCCCACAGGTTAATCATGTTAAAAGTACGTATGCAGTGATTCCACATTTCACTCAGCAAAAGCTGAAGTCCTTACAATGGCCTATCAGGATTTACAAGACTAGCCCTCTTTCATGTCTTTGACCTCGTCTTCTACTCTCTTCTAGACACTGCTGCCTCCTTGCTGATCCTTGAACCCACCAAACACACTCTGGTCTCAGACCCTGGCACTTGGTGTTCCCTCTACCCACAAAATTCTTCCAAGGTAACTGCTTGGCCTTCCTCATTTCCCTCAGTCTTAGCTCAAGTGTGACCCGGTAAGGCTTTTCCTGACCACTCTGTTTATTTTTTTCTACCACTTCACTATCTGACATGTATTTATTTATCTTCTTACCACATAGAATGTAAGCTCCATGAAGATATTAACTCCTAGCACCAAAGAGTTCTCAACACATAGTAAGGTACTCAATACATGTTTGAATGTCTAACAGACTTTGTTAGCTCACTGAAATATCTTGAGGATGGAGGCTGCAGTCGTTTCTCTGCAGTGCATCCTAGGCTCCCCCAGGATACACTGTTGCCAGCCAGTATTACTCATTTTAGTCCCCAGAGAACAGTAAGTTTGGTAGAAACCTAAATCCCTTTTTCACGTAATTTGTCATTTACCGTTGTCATACATTATGTTGCTGAATTTTCTGCTTATATTCTTTTTAATACATTTCTTTCCAGCACTTGGCTTATTTTGTTTACTGTCTACAACCACACCCACCCTGATCCTAGGTTAATTACAAGACTGGAATAATTCTCCTGGAGCAAAAAACCAAAAAATTGTTTTATTTCATTAAACATTCTATTTAAAGTTTCAGGTACATCTGAAACAAGGAAAAGGTCTAAATCTCAATACTCAGGCCTATTGGATGTCACCTTAAGGTAGTTGACTATTATTTGTGATGAATCTGGAGTATGTTGTTCATTTCCAATGCGTTCTACAGAGAATTCCTAGGTTACTGGGTGATCATTTGCGGGGAACGTTGTCTTTTTTTCAAGACCTTTGGGGATGTGGAAATTTGCTTTCTCTGCATACAGAAGGAATTCTAGGAGCTGGGATTGCACCACCCACACCAAGCACCACTTACTTGCAGAAACCTTTGCTACCCCACCCCACCCCCACCAAATAAGAGCTCTACACACGGCAGTAGCCAGCTTCAGATCCAGCTGCCTGACACCTATTGTCCCCGTTTGGACGTCAAGCGATTTCGCCTGAAGGACCCTAGCTGCGATTTAGTTCAAAACTCAAGGAACCGCTCCTGCAGCCTCCACGGGACCGCCCCAACCTGCGCGGAGCGACCGCCCCCGAGAACGGGGACTTGGGCAGGGCTGATAGGAGTCCGAGGGGGTTGGGTTTCCCAACAGGCGTTCGCGCTGGGCAGCCCGAGCGGCAGCGAAGGCCCCCGTCCGCTGCTTTCCCCGCCCCCTCGGTCCCAGAGGGCTGGCTGGCTAAGTCCCTTCTGCTCCCGGCTCTCCGCCTCACTAGCAGCGGCTCTCGGTGCAGCGGGGACAGGGCGAAGCGGCCTGCGCCCACGGAGCGTGCGACACTGCCCGGAACGCACCGCCACCCTTGCCCTTTCAGCCGCCCACTCGGGATCTCCAGCGGCCTGCGCGCGCGCACGGTGAGCGCCATCCCGGACCGAGGCGCTGATTGGGAAGAGGGCTGCTGCCCCGAGTGTCCTAAACCTCCGGATCGGCTGGACCTTCGCAAGAAGCTTGATCCTCAAGTCTCCCGCCCCCTCCACCTTCTCTCCCCCAGTCATTTCCAGTGCCCTTCTCCACCCTCCTCGGCCTCCTAGCCCCGACCTCTCTCTTCCCTCCCTTCCTCGGAAGGCGACGGTGCCGGCAGGCCCTCCCCGTGGAGACCGTTGCACTGGCAGTTGGCCGGCGCTGCAAGGCCCCGCCCCCAGCCTGAGCCTCGGTGCCCCCGGGCGGGTAGGCCGAGCCGGCGGCCCGCGCGGGGGAGGGGCGGGGCGGGGGGCGGTGCGAGACCGACCCGGGCGCCCCGCTGGCGGGTCGTGCGCGCGCCGGCCGTCCCTTCCTGCCCTCGCGGTGCGCGCGGCCTCGTCCCCACCCCCACCCGCTCGCGCAGGCTCCTGCCCGCTCCGCGTTTTGTCCCGCGTCTCGCCCCGTCCGTCGCCTGACTCGCCGCTCCTGTCCTTCCTCCCGCTTTTTCTTCTTTCCCTTTACGGTCTAAAGATGCCCTCGGCCACCAGCCACAGCGGAAGCGGCAGCAAGTCGTCTGGACCGCCACCCCCGTCGGGTTCCTCCGGGAGTGAGGCGGGGGCTGGGGCCGCTGCACCGGCTTCTCAGCACCCCGCAACCGGCACCGGCGCTGTCCAGACTGAGGCCATGAAACAGATTCTCGGTGTGATCGACAAGAAACTTCGGAACCTGGAGAAGAAAAAGGTGCCAGGAATTGGCGGGGAAGGGAGGGTTTGGTGCTCCGACTCTGCCGTATCCTTCACTGTTCATCTCCGGCATTTCCCCTCAATCCCCCGCCCCCCACGGCCGTTGTCCTCAGTAAACGGGAGCTTCGTGCTCAGAAAACGGGCTGCTAGGGGAGGTGCTTGTCACCTGACCCGTACGCAGCGCTGCCTTCAGGACTCTTGATTACTGTACCCCTGCTGTGGGCCAGGCCTTTGAGCCTTTGGGAGTGGGGCGTGTAAGGGTGGGGACCTGTCCTGTCGCCAGATTTAACTGTATGATGCCCTTTTCACCGTTACCGAGGTCCGAATTCTTTGAGTAGGGCCATCGGGGAGAAAAAAGATCCCAGTGTGCGGACTGAGGGTTCAACCGACTGCCTCGTGGAGTTGGGGCGGCCTGCGTCCTCTAGCCGTGGGGTTTGTCCGCTCCGTTACTGTGTACTTGAGACCTGTTCAGTGTCCCCTCTTCTCCCTTGGGAGAGAAGTGTATTTAGGCCCTTAAACTAGAATTGCTTTCCTATCAAGCTCCTTTTGAGTGGGTCTTCGATTTGCTACCCCCGCCCCCATCGGATGGGCTTCCGACGTTTCCTTCTTTGTTTCAATTGTCTAGGTGCCCCCGAGCCTCACGCTCAACTCATTCCCGAGAAGATTTTCTGCTGCGGCTCTTTGTCGCTCGGGGACCCTAAAGAAGGACGGGAGGGAGACCGTATCGATTGAGATTTGTTGGGAGTGTGTGGGTTACACCGAGGGGAGCGTTAGGTCTCTGGGCACATGGAGAGAGCGACTAACATGGCGGCGGCTGCGGGGAGAGGGAAGCGCTTTACAGGAGCTGCATTGTGAGCACAAAGCGAAAGCAGAGGGGGAGGGCAGAGACCAGGCACCCGCCCTGACTGGCCTTCCTAGCCCCCTCCAAAAAAAAAATCGAGGCACACCCACAATATTTTGGATTCACTGTTTAGCCACCCTAGGTCACACCGTGAGGTTTATCTTCAAGTCGGGCTTTTGTTTTATGCTTTCAGCCTAGGGCAGTGTATCAACTGTTTTAGGGGGACGTGTGTGTGTATATGTAGAGGAAAGGTCTAGGCAGAGTGTTTAAATATTTGTAAGATTGGAGGTGGTAAGGGAGAAACAAATGAGTAGTACAGAAAATGGGATGATTACGTCAGTGACTATTATGCGAACTTTCGTCTTTTACCTTAAAAAGAAAAAATAATTAACTTTCATTCGATAACTAGTCAAACGTTTATAACATGTTGAATTTTGAGGAGTCATTTAAAAATGTTTGTTTAGCTAGCCACCTAACAGTGTTACTAAGATGTTGAGGTAGTAATTTTTTGGCCAAAATTTGGGCTGTGGGAAATAACTTGAAGAAAACTGGTGATATTTAGGTTTTAATTATTTTAAAGGTTCATTTAATCATTCATTTTACTTTTCTGAGTTTTAAAGCAAATATTTTAGATTTTATACTTCCCTATCTCATTTTCTGTATTGGGAATTTTACTTGAATTTCTTTGAAATTGAGAGATGCCCTCTAATTGTGGATTGCTACCTTTTTTCTGATCCATTATTTTAATCAACAAGCATGGTTTATTATAAATGATTGAAATAATTGATTTGTCAATGTCAACAAGGCAACAAAAGTAATTATAAAGCAGCTATATTAAAATATGTAATAGAATAAGCATGGCCAAGGCCATTAAAAGTCTTCCGAGTCTGCTGATTTAGTTTTTGTTACTCTTTGAAATTGAGACTTAGGTATTTTTTTTTAAAACTTTAAAACAATAAACAATTCTGTCAATTTGGTAGATGCATGAGTGTTTTCAGAATTCCTAGGAAATCTCTGTTCTTTTAGGATAGGAATCAGAAGATGAATAGTAATGAAGTAATAATTTAAGTGTAGGCATTTATATTTTAATGACTGAAAAAATAATTCTTTGAAGGTGTTAATGTAAAGTTAGGTGCAGATGAGCAGCCAGCTTAGTTTTGAGATGACTGTTAAAGACTAGTGTTCAAGTGTACAAGAAAAAAATAGAAATCTAGTTTATAAGCTTTAAGAGTGCCTGAACCATGGCAGGTCACTCCTGCATAGGTTTGTATTACTAAATATTATCTACTTAAATGGTTAAGTTGAAAGTACTGATGTGACTTAATTACTGTTAAAACTGGAAGTTTACTTTTTGAGAAACTCAAGGCTTTTTTCCCCTTGATATCTAGATGATTTGTTGTATGAAAGGACTTAATTGATTCATTTTTCTTTTTTTTTTTTTTTAAATCAACCGAGGACATTTTTTTTTTCATTGCTTTTTAGAGAGAGAGAGGAAGGGGGAGAGAGAAACATCGATGCGAGAGAGAAGCATCGATTGGTTGCCTCCCTTAACGCATCCGGACCCGGGATCGAACCCACAACCTAGGTATGTGCCCTGACCGGGAATCGAACCCGCAACCTTTCAGTTACGGGACAACGCTCCAACCAACTGAGCCACACCGGCCAGGGCTGATTTCATTTCTCAATAGTGAGTGAGCATTTCTAATATACCTAAAATAGGATTTACTTTACAAAGTGGTTTTGTACCTTTTTAGAAACTTACAGGATAAAGATGCTGTGTATAACTGGATTTCTTTTTACTTCAGTCTACTTAGCAAGTTATATTTGAGCTGTATTTCAGTTTTCTGATAAAATGCCTTTTATTCATGTGTTCTAAAATGAAGTATCCTGACAAAAATTAATACTAGATAGGCAGTATCACATTATGGCATAGAGTTGCAATGATTTTATTTCACTTTATTTAAAAAAGAAAGTTATTTGTTAATTTTCTAGTAAATCCAGTCATTAGAGGGAAACTAAGCATCTGTTTAATAAGAATGCATGCTTAATATTGATGAAATAGGATCCTATTATGTAATGCAACTAAATGGCCTGGTAGTTTTCAAAATTTGAGCTTATAAAGACTACATTGGTGTTTAGCAGAGAGAGGAAATGCAGCTATAATAAAAATCTAGTGTAAAATTCCATTTAAAAATCTGAGTGATTAAAGTATAAATAATGAGTTGAGTGATTGCCTAGTTTTCATCAGTTTGTTGGTATAAAACTGGGCCCTAGGCTATGTAAGATGTTTTGAAATCAAGTCTTAATTTAAACTGAAGAGAGCTCATTTATATGGTAAGATGTAATCAGATCTTATGTAGAATAAAAGGTGTTTTAATAGATGACATTTACAATTGTTACATACTTTGTAAGTATAATAGATTTAGACATCAGTGACTGGTAGGTGAAAAAGTTAACCAGTGTTCTCTTGCAAGACAGCCTGACCCCTTTGTAACTAGTAGGTGACCAGTAGTGTTAGTCAGCGTGTACTGTTTTTCATGCTACTCCCTAAAGTCTTCTTGATCTTTATATCTTGCAGTAAATATTATTCAGAAAAAGAGTGTTTTTGTTGTTAGAGAGGATAACATTTCTTTCCAGAGCATTGTAGTGTACCTTAACTTAGAATTTTCAGTGCAGCTATTGTACAGAATTTTTTTGTTAAGTATTTGAAATAAAAACATCTTAAGTTTTTCTTGACAGTCTCTGATGTGTTAGCTCTCCATTGATTGCATGAACTATTCTCTGCAATGCAGAGGGCAGGATTACTTTGTTTTGCATTCATCTTGTCACAGATAAAAAAGCATTCACAATGCTTAATTTGTTTCTCTCTGCCTGCCTGGGTGTGTGCATGTGCTACTGTGTGCATGCCTGTGTGCATGCGCATGCACTTGCCTATAGGGAAGTATTTAAATTTCAATTTAAAGAGGAAGAGAATGTGAAGTCCCTTACATGATAATGGGATACCTTTTTTGGGATGAGGGTAGAATCCTAAGTATTACAATGAGAATGGGTTGTTTTAACGTGGCCACGTTATTTTCTAGGGGGTGTTCAACTAGCAGCTATTCAGCTGGCTCCACATGAGGCCCTGGGTGGCTGTGAATGCATCTCAACACAAAATCGGAAACTTACTTAAAACATTGTGAGATTTTTTTTTTTGTGATTACATGTCGCAGTGTGTTTCCATGTGTAGCCCAAGACGATGCCTCTTCTTCCAGTGTGGTCCAGAGACACCAAAAGGTTGGACACCCCTGCTAGGCTACTTTCCATGTGGCAAAAGTTGGTATAGGAATAAATTTTGTGTAACTTAGAGTTTAAGCATACAACAAGCATACCTTTAAGTAATTTGTTAGTTTACATTTAGAATTAGATAAAGATTAGTCTGGTACAGTTTTATCTTTTAAAAAATAAGTACTTGCAAAGGTGAAACTAAAACAACATGGCCTTAATTTCATAACCATACTGTTAAGAGAGCCTAAGACTTTTTAAGACCTCAGAGCCACCTTACAATTTAATTCATTTTACAGAAGAGGAAATTTAGATGCTCACGTGAAATGACTTGACTTGGAATGGGTGAATCCCAGGGTCTCTTGTAATGTTTTATGGGGGTAATTAGAATTTGTAATGCCCTGCAATGTAAGTGTAATTTTTCATGTTTAAGCTGATCCTGTAGAACCAAGTGAATCCTTTTACTTCACATTCTTTAATTTTAGAGTACTTCTGTTTTAAAAAGTCGAAAGGAAAAGAAGTAGCTTCTTGTTTCTTCAGTTAGACCTTTATTAATGTCTTGTGAAATTTGCGTTTGTAGGCTGTCCAGATAATGGGGTCCTCAGACTAGCAGTACAGGTAATGTCCCATGTTGTTGGGACATCATGTTGTAATGAAACGAATTTTAAAGTTCAGACTCTGAGGTTTCTCTCTATACATAGGTAAGCTCCAAATGCACATTTGCCAGTCTCTACTCAAACTTGGTATGTTGTTGACCAGAAAATTTGGGAAAAGCGTAACCAGTAGAAAGGAGTGGGAGGTGTGTCAACCTTTCTATCTTAATTCTTGTATTCCAAACTTCTGGGTAATTTTTAGTAATTGGACCCTTTTTCTGAGGGAAATGAATAGTATGT